TTTTTGAAGGCTTGTTACTTACCTGTTTTCGAGACTGTAGTTGTTTATGTGCGTGTCTGTGTGTAGATTTCAGGATGGTACACGGATAGCTTTAGGTCCTGTGGTGTAAGGGACAGTATTCAGTTTGTCAGATCATATAGAGTCAACTATCCATGCTCCCCAATTTACTTGCATACCACTATCGGAACCAGAAACAATGTGTCCGGTTGGTTTGTTATCATGGGTTTTTACTGACTCTCTTAGGTGAACTGCCTGTGCTTTACCGACCCAGTTATCGTGCTGTATGTCCGAGTTACTTTTATGCCTTGCTATCGAGTATTTTCAACGGACTGCTTTCAGTTTTTCGTCAAAAGTGTATTTTTAAGGATGTTTTCTAAGTAAGTGATGATTTATGGACCTCCAGATTTCTATGATAGAAAATCACACCCGCGTTTGTGTTTCGATACGGACAACTTGTAGGGAAACGCCCATAGTATGCTCATTCCTTTTGACTACTATGTTGTCACAAACCCAGTTGAGAAAGGGACTGCCAGGCAGGCGTAGCATACACAAAGTGATGCGATTGGATACTTCCGTGATACACGCCTGAAATCTGTCACAGTATCAACTTTCGGATGAATTTCGGTGATTTTTTTCAACAAAAACGGAGATAAAATTTATCATTTTTGACCTTACCGCATAGGTTAGTGACTGGGGTTTTTGCGGTAACTGGTAGATTCTCTATTACACACTTTCATATTCACGTTTGATTTGATTTGAATGCTCTATCTTCTTTTTATTCTTTTGTTCTTGTTTGTTTAGATTTGACGGAGGCACTGGAAAATGCCTCTGAAATGTCTTCCACTCTCCTGGACTCATTACGCCAGGAGTTCAAAAAAGCAGTACAGGAGAAAGAATCCAATTTCCAACATATCAAGGTTAGTTTCTGTAACGTCCCCGATTCCCAGTGTGGCTCAGGTTAGTGGTGATATTCGGATGTTTTTCCCCAGCAGTAGCACTTGTATGGCTCTCAAGTATAAAGCTTATTGAAATTTTCCCGTTAAAACTCTGTTCTCTCCACTATGATGTTTTACACATTAAATAATCCAAAATAATGACATCTCACCCCTCTTTATGTCACTCAGTTGTTGTACAGTTCGACTCAAAATTTTTCTGTTCGTTCTTTCAGAGCTCCACTGAAGCTACCGATCGCGAAGCTCAATCCCGTCTGGACTCAGCTCGGGATGAGGTTGTCCGGTTGAATCAAATGTTGGATGCGACACGCAAATCACTGGTAATGTTTAACTTTTTCTCGAAGATTTCTCCAACATTCCATCCAATCTCTTACTCAAAACCAAATATACTCTCGTCCAAACACCACTGGCCTCCAGTTTACAAACTACGATTTACACACATCATTCTGTTCCAAGGCTAGCTTCTGTACTTGCGCTCGTCGGTCATTAGCCAACCCTCCTATCTACCTATTGTTCTCAATCTGTTAGTTTCAGCTGATGTGACTGAAGCGCCGGCTCCGCTTCTTTCAATCCCTATATTTGTTCAGTCTATCGTTCCCATGACAGTGGCTTTCCTTCCACTTCTTATTCTGCCTTCAAGCTTTGAAAGTCTGATGGTTGCCAACTGCCAATGCACACACACCTTTTGACTCAGTGGATCATGGTCTCCTCTCATTCTCCACTTCCTTGCACCCCTCCAAAGTCTACAATATTTACAGCATCATGTTTGGATTAGACCATTCGATTGCTCACAGACCCCCCGCACTGTTCGTGTTCTTGGATGTGGATTTCATCCCTTGGGAGCTCCCTAATTCTCCACTGATTGTTGTAAGCGATCGTGTAACTCAGAAATATGGGTTTGACGTCCCAACCCGAAGGTTCGCGGTTCGACAGGGATACAAAAAGTATGTACTGCCGATGAGTCCCAAATAGGGCAAAACAGTGCTCTTTGTCGGTCGTCACAAATATATTCACACCATATGGAGCACTTCGCGAAGTGTAAAGGAAGGTTGACTAATCATAACCTAGCACACCCATTCCCGATCATACCTTGATTTTTGGAGGATGTAGCTAAAGAACGTTTCATTTCATCAGCAGTAGTACCTTGCAATGAANTGCAATGAATACATACACACCAGAATCTCCTTCAATCAGAAGTGAGTAGTGTTCAAACGCTCTTGATATCGTGTTAGTAGATGGTAACACGGTAAACAGCAAGTTCAGCACAATTCTGTATTAAATTTGTGGGTTTAGGACCTAATATGTATCTATCCGTTCAGTGATTTGCAAGGATCTTCTTTTCGTCTTATGCCAAATTATTTCAACTGAGAAATGTCGCCAATTACCTGAATTCAAAAAAGGTGAATACCTTGGTGTAACCCTATATAGTGATCTTCGTTTTTCTTAACCCACATCCATAACTGCACTGGTGAACTGCGGTGCGTATCATTTGAAATTCGAAAGCTCAGGCAGTTTCGCGCATCCCAGTCAATTGTATGTACCTTCGTGTATCATTATGTTTTTCCCCATCGTAATTTATTGTTCCCCAGTTATTTTCCTTACTTACTTAAACAGAATTTCATAGTCTTACGCCGCGGTCTAGCTAATATTAGCCGCGTCTCTTCTGTCCATGTGAACGAGTTAGCTGTGATACTTTACAGAGTATTGTACCACTTCGTGTGTCAACTTTGTGGAGAGTATTCTCGCAGACCCTAACCACCCATTTCACACATACCTGACACGTTATCGTTTCCATTCCTCCACTCGCTTTCGATTCCACCAAACGTCATCTCGTATAAATTCACCGATACCTTATCCTGCACGTTTACTCACCAACGAATAGGAGGTAACAAGTGAATTTCTTCTTAAATTTGAACAATGAAATGTCCAATTGTGTTTAAACACTTTTCCCGTTCTCTGTGACGGTTGGTGTGTCTAGCGTTTTTAGACTGAAGTTTAAGCTTCAGTGTGTGTCAAAGTTATACACAATGCAATGCATACAATACAAAAGTAATTTTTGAAACAAAGGGTGTCAATCTATATATCTATAAATCGATTTGCATTATACATTCACCGCAATGCAATTGATGATGTCCTGTTTCATTTAAAGTTTCATCCAGCTGGCGATCCAGGTAGCGATCTACGAATTACGGTCAGTGGTATAGGTCATCAATAAATCATGCAAAAATTGCCCGGTTTCGTAGCCTTTTCAGGTCTCCTATCAAACTTCAGTTGGTCACTAGCCCGTTCCCAAAAGTTGACTATTTAAAAAAAGTAAAATAGAGAAGGAAATGTTACTACTATTATTACTGGTATGTAGGAAAGTGATAGACAGATGTGTTGTCATATTTCAACTCCCTTCTTTGATCCTTTGGATAATCATTTGATTTTCTTCTATCCTCCCTCTCTCACACGTACTGTGCCCCGACAAAAATAATATGCATAGCGCGAGAATGACTCGGAATTAACCCGAGTGAAAAATCAGGCGGAACGGGCCAAGATAACCACGGCCAAACTAGATGCGATCCGCGTTGAGGTTGCCACGGCGGTAAGTTGTTATCAAACACCCCGCAC